TGTTACATGAAGCTCTTGTTGGGGGGAGCAAGGTCCATCCAAAAGCTAGCAGAAATTCTCTTAATATATACCTCCTCCTCTTCCTTGTTCAGGACCAAAGTTAATTTCTAAAGGTTGTGCAATTTTTGCAGTTGAAAATAATTGCTTCAAGTTGAGCCCATTCCCTTCAAAGATATCATTTGAATGGTATTGTAATGCAATAGAAAAAACAATTTTGTCTTGAGGTAAAAAATATCATAACCAAACAAAAATTCCTGAACTTACTAAATAGTCTCTTCCTTTGCATAAAATATCAGCAGCAATTCCACCACTAGGACTGATGGTTCCCTCTGGATACAACAACTCACTTTTGGAAAAAAGACACATTACCCACCACCAAGTCACCACAACTAAGAATATTTTCAGTTGAAATACTGTTGAAAAATAAGCTGCCATATTGTGTATACTTAAATGTACCAAAGAGAAGGTTCTAGCAAAAAGGCTCTTACCTTTTCACTACCCAGCAACCCTGCACCAGGACAGCATATTGCTGTAAGCATTTCAACACTGATGCTTCCTTTGCTGCTGGGGACAAGAGTCTGCACAGCTGTGAGAAACTGATCACTTTGGCTGGAGATGGACAGAATAGCACATAAGAATAAAGAGAGTAAATAAATATCTAAAGAAACCATTACTGGTACATCTTCCCACTTTGCAAACAGTATGATAAGCATTGACCACCACAGGATCCTTCCATTCCTATCTTGGTCTTGGTCTTGGTACACTCTGTTGTTGTATAAGTTTTTGAGAAATTTGATTGTATATCCAATTGATACGCAAAAGCAAGTTAAAGGACTCACCCTTGATAAGAAGAGCCCTGACTTGATCTGCCAAGTCCATAGTCTTGAGCTGTGTCATGGATAACACATTACTGGGTACAGGTGGCTTGGAACTGAAAAATAATCAACAGTCAGTTGGGAAATTACAGCAAATTTAATAAAAAAACTACTGACTATGAAGTCTTTCCACCCATTGGTGGTACAAAATGAAAGATAAAATTGGCCTAAAATGTGAACACATTCATGTCCTCAGCAGAAATCATGTGGCTGAAACAAATTTAAAAACTCCGCTGAGTTTCACCTTTACACTGGACCTGATTAAGCAAGGAACAAAAACAAAAATAAGAAGCTCAATACCTTTCTTCCTGAGAAGTAGATGGAGTCAATAACTTCAAGTAATCCCTATTTAAAAAATGACAATTGTGAGAAACACAAAAACAAGGTTTAATATTCAAAATACAACCAACATTGCCACACATGATAGTGATGACCTCAGACCATAAAGCATTCTCTACTTTGCACACACTGAATGTCCTTTGTTTGCCATAACATGCAATCACACAGCTGACAAAGGAAAATCATACAGTGACAAATTTCTGGTATATAAGAAATCCCAATTGGGATCCAAATAATTCACTGTCGGGTGGTGGAAAGATGCATAAGAGTTTACTATCAACTTTTCAGTTGCAAAGGCTTCCTGTTGTTATTCACTTTCTTCATTTCATGACTTCTTAATCCACCATATTCATGATACCTCATTCAACAATTAGAGGCTGTAAGATGCGAATGTTGCTGATCAGATCGCTCAAAAAAAGGCAAATTTTTTTGCACAGTTAAGGTACACCTAATTTCTAAATCTGAAGGGAGAAGACCAAATCTAACTCTTGGGACTGTTTCCATTTGTCAATTCAGCACCCTCCAACTGACACTTGTGCAATTAGTAATACAAGCTATCAATTATTTTACTCCATAATGACATTAACCCTGCGTGTTTAGTAATGTCTTCACTTTGTTCTGTTTTGTTGTGGGTTTTCCTTCAATCCAACATATCTTGGTGAATGCCAGAAAAATCTATTATTGATGATAATATTATTTACAATACATGAATATGACAGTAATCTTTGCAGTAATGAACACTGCTTTAGCAGTAGTGAAAATAAAACCTGAAAAAAAATTCAGGCCTATGTAAGAGTTGAACCCATGATGTCGAAAATACTATAGCAGTGCTCCACCAACTGAGCTGACAAGCCAATTGGGAGCTAGTAACTGAGCTGACAAGCCAATTGGGAGCTTGTAATTGTAAATGTGATTTAAAAGGCTTCAAAACAAACTTTGAAACATTTGTTTTACTGGACTCTGTCATAATCTGACACCTGTCAAGTAGAGAGTGTGTAAAAAAGCCTAATTATGTACACTTTTGAAAAAACAACAGCACCAGTTTGGCAAACAAACTCAAGTTCAATGACTGTCACAGCAACTTTTTCTTCACAAACACTCTACGATCATACAGAAAGTATCATTCCCTTCCATCAATGATCGATGTAAAAAGAATACCTCAGCTCAGTAAGTAAATGGCAAGGGAAGTAATTGTAATTAAAATTCAAATGTATGTTTGAAAAATGGCAACAAAGCTAGGGATGTACTTGGCGACTCAAAAAAGCATTCCCGAGCCTGTGGGCAGAGATAAGACTGCACTAAGAACCACACAGATTGCAGGATTCATTAACATGCTCTCTGAGAAAAAAATAAATGTTTTTCATAAAGTCACAGTAATTTAATTAAAAATACCTTGGATGGAGGTTGAACTCTGGTGACTCTGATTCCATTTCTCGACAAAATAACAAACTATGTTCTACACCAGCAATATCATTCTAGAAGGAAAAAAGGAAACAAAAATGAAAGAACAGCAAGTGGTGAACATAAATATATGCATTTTGAGGGTGTAGTTTGATCATTCTGATGTGAATAGTCGTGAACAAAAATGGTGTCAATGATAGCAACTGAAATATTAGCAGGCCAAGGAAAAGTTATCATCAGAGTCAAGTTGATGTGAAACCTCCATCATTGTAACCCACACTCCCTTTAAGGAATCTTTCAGGTTCCACTGTTGCTCCTATGGCTGCTATAAACAAAAGTTAGTGGGACCTTGCTCACTAGAGTTCACTCTAGCTGTCATGTATTAATTAAAAATTATGCAATCACAAAACGGTACCTGAGGATTATAAAATTCCATGGTTTTCCAGGGTTCTTCTGCTTTCTTTTGCTCCAAGTATTTAAAAGATGACAGCCGCTGAGCCTTTGCTCGCTCTGTTTCAGGGCGTGCAAACTTGACCTGGAAAATTATTGGGGCAGGACATTTTCAAAATTGTTAAAGAAGCTACAAAAAACATGCTAAGTTCCAAAGTGAACACTCTTTCAAAATCGCATTATCGTCATTTTATGTATATTGCATACCCATATTTTTGAGTAGTGGTTCTTGTTACACTTGATTAAATTAAGTTAGTGATGCATGTGGAAAGTTTGAGATGGGCTTAAGAGTTGCACAAGACACTACCAAGAAAAACTCAACTAGCTTCTTGAGAATAACAAATAAATCTCTCATGAAAGCTGAAACAGAAACTGTCACAGCTCCTGAGGTCTCCTCGTTTTTACAGATTCTCTTTGGTCCTATAAACTTCTTCTGATGAACTATAACCTTGATTTCTGAGGAGTAAGCAGTGGAAGGAGTAGTCCATCCCCAGACATCAAAGATGCATAAAAAAACACTGCTGCAAAATTGTCATGTCACATGATAGTGCTAAAAGAAAATCCTAAAGATGCTAATGACCAAGGATTATACGAGACTAAATGTAATATTAATAATACATGTACATGTATGAGGGCAAGCATCACTAACAGTGAGTGGTTTTGCCTCCTCTTCCTCATCTTGCGAATCTCCTGATGAAAAAACAGGCATTTTATCACACATAGTAATCCCAGCTACAGTAATAATGTTGTTATATTTAATTAGGAAGTATCCTAAAAGGTAATGATGAAATTATAAAAATTGTTGTGTTCCAAATTCTTAGCAAAATGGCATTTCAAACTAATTCATTATTTCTTTCCTTTACTTCACAAAATGATAATCAATTAAAGACAAAAACAAAAAAAATTAAACTAGTGTGACAAATTTTAATCCAAGAAAAAATATGAATTATAAGAGAAAACTCTAACTGAAAACCACAAATGAAATTAATTATGTGTAAATTATTTAATTGCTCTGTGGGTTACCTTCATCTGTAGGATTGGAAGCCTGATTCACATTTGCTTCACCTTTGTTAAGATATTCAAAACTTGGCCTGAGCTGTAATACACCATGTACAGGTGTCAGGTGCAACTCTCCTGTAGAGTTTAATAAATTTTATATGATAAACTTCTCTCATAAGTAGTCAGACAAACCATAAACATCCTTTAAAGTTGTAGTTTTCTGAATTTCAAGCACTGTTCATAAGTAGTGTGATAAGGCAAGTTGTAATTTGCGCATAGTTTATGCTCTCTTGACTATCATTCCTTGGTTGGAGAGAATTCAACCTGCCTTGTACAAGGCTCTCACATTAGATCTTCATGCAGGAACAGATGTTTCTGATATCCCAAAAAGCATATTGTTTCGCAAAATGTTTGCTATTGTTAGCAAAGTATAATTGTTGAGCCTTCAAATCCCACTTTGGGGTTTTTATCAAGAAATGTAGTAGTGGAAGAAAAGTTTAATGTAACAGGAGAAATTCTCCATAACTGAATAAATAAAAAGTCAGGCAATCAAAATAGAAAGGGTTTGTTAGATAACCCAACAAAAAGCAAGTATAAAACTTTGTTAGCAGTGCCTTGTGTTTAAGTACTGTAAACACTGGTGTATAGGATGCACTTGCAGATAAGCCACACCTCGAGTTTTTTTAACTCAAATTTTGGAAAAAAAAGTTTTTTGAAAGCAAACCAAAAGATATCACAAGTGGAGTCTTAAAGAAAGTTGCTTTATTTTGGTTGCTTTGTTGGACATATGATTGCTACAATACTTTGAATCCTTATCCATAGTTTCAGCTGTTAGTAATAGAACAGACATCAAAGACTTATCTTTGAACTTACACTGGTATTCTTCAACCAGTATTTTGTTTTTCTCATTTCTGTCAGATTTTCAACAGAATTCACATAAAACAACAGGAAATCTTAAGTTTGTTGGTTGGGTTGCTTGTAGCTTAGCAGCCAGGCATTTGTTCGGAAGAAAGGGGACACAAGTAGCTTTTAGAGCAATAAATTTCATCAGAGTAATGTACAGCAGGGTTCCTTGTCTAGTAAAGTTTAAAGCTGCCCAAAGAAGTTTAGGTGTCCTTAAACCAATAAAACAGTCTCTTAATAAAGAAGGTTTGGAATATAAGCTTATGCTTAAGAACAGATATGGCTCTTAAAGAAGCTACCAAACTGACAAAACAATATATCTATCCTAGTATATTTTTATAAAGTTCTTGTTGGTTTACAACAGATTTGTACATTTCCCACGAGTACCAGTAGTTCATATCTATGCAAATTTGCAACAGGTTTTTCCAGACAGTCACAGAGAGGCTGCAACCCTGATTTGTTACAAAAATTTTGGGAAAAAGGGCACAGCTTAAATGCCAGTGTTTACAGTAAGTCTTTGGATTTTTCAAGTTCAATTACATGTACATCTCCCAACTACAGCAATAACTATTTCCTCATAACTAAGCAAAGAAATAATTTCTATTAAGGTACCTCCTTTGAGAATGCCCACAGAATATCGACTCACATCCTCTGAGGCTCTTGATGAAGAAAGCACTTGTTTATCCATCTTATCACTAATAAGAGTGAGGAAAAAAACCACACATTTCATTGTGAAAAAAAAGGTATTCCTGTGGAACAACCAGGGCATTTAAAAATCCTGCAGTTTACTGGCTTATATCTGGCCAAAAGAAAAATGCTTACCAGCTTGGCTAAGCACAAGAGAATATAATGAAAGGAGCTTGATAGCTAATCAAATTCTCTTTGTCAGCACCTTTGGAAATGCATAGAGTACACTATGAAGGATATAAATACTGATGTTAGGGTGTACAGGGTTAAACATTTTCCAACAGAATTATTGATTGGTGGCAAATTGAAAAAAGAATGAAAAGTGATAAATTGTACAGAATGAGTATTAAATTTTACATTACCCAGTATTGCTTTAAATGTTATGTTAATTGACATACTATGGTCAATTTTCAAAAGGAATTTGGAGATGTTATTACCTGGAAAAAAATGATTCTTTTCCTTCAGAGGCAGATAACAGAGCAGAACCATTCACATTATGTGCAATTTGTTCTCCTCTGGGTGCATAATAGTCATCACTACTTGTGTTTATTGACAGTTCAAGTTCAACCTATACTCACAGTTGAAAATCCAGAGACAAAGTACATTAGTAGATCATTTATAAATGTTGCAATTAAAGTATAAGAGGTACATCCAGGTACTTTCAAAAGACATTCATCCCTCCATCCAGGACTGTCTGTTCTTCATTAAGGTCACACAATAAAAGCAATTCTTAAACAGAAAACAATACAACAGAGAGATACACTGCACCTCCTCAGAGGAATGGATTACACAATGGGGAGGGGTACATTTTCCCTTTCACAATCCACCTGGCCTGCTTTCTACTGGTCTTTTTTCTTTTTCCAGCACTCTAATTTTTTCAAAAAGCCCAGATAGTAGATAGATACCCAGTAAAATAATACTTAGTTGACATGTGCAACCATTTTCTCTTTGTTTTTGTTCCCTACCCTTCACAGAAAGTGTGTGGGTTCTTTAATGTCCCTTGCAAACTGGTACAAAGAAGATGCAGGAGACAGGTCAGATGGAGCAATTATTTTAAGACTCTGAGTGTCAGGCCAGTTTAGGGCTCAAACCTTTGACCTCCCACATGGCAGTCTGGTGCTCTATAACCTCTATTCTAAGTTTTGGATTTTCAACTCAATAATTATACTATGCTTTCTCACTCACCTTTTGCTGGTCTGGTTTGATTCTTGCTCCAATATGAGGGATATTATCATAAGTAATATCAGCTGGACGGACTGGATACTGCAAAACCAACTTGTTGAGTCAGATCATTGTTGTAATAGTAATTGTCGTTGTAATGTAATTGTCAGTAGTGATGACTAGTCACCACTACTGACAACAGGCCTTCTCAGGAGGACTACAATCACCCAGACAATCAAACTACACTATTACATGTTACCCCTGGGTTCAAACCATTTACTGTATTACAGATCATTCTTGTTACACAATGAAAAGAGAAAGATCTCAATCAGTCTCAGACCTACAATATAATGAAGAGTAACACTTGAATTCTTTTTGAGTGAGATGAAAGCCTCAACATAAATTTACTGTGAGCCTTTAGGATCAAGTTGTGTGGTTTTTGTACTCTTAGGCTGTAAGAACTTTCAATTTTCCAATGGGCCTAGATACTTGTTTACATGCAAAGAATAGAAAAAGGTAACAAAAAATCTGAAAAAGCTTCATAGACATTGCTTTCCTTTTTTTCCCTTGACTTATAATGTATGGCTTTATTTCTTTGAAAGCTTGCCATTGACTTGGCTGAAAGCATTTGTTTTCTAAGAGATTACACATCTTATAAACTACTCAAAAATTTACATATTTTCACGAATTCTCTGAAACAGCATGCACTAGAGTAATTTTCTGAAGAGCACAAAGGTCAGCACGCGAATCAAAGCCCAAGACTAGTTTGTCACATCCTATGGCAAGTTACTCATTATGGCGAATATTTGGAAGCATAGCATAAGCGAAATATGGCAGCTTGAGAACAGTAGAACAACACTAAACAAGAAGTGGATGATGCAAAAATGTCAGTTTTACCACAAGGTGGAAATTTAAGCACATCTGTCAAACCACTGCAGTTCTCAAAGTTAACTTAAATTTTCGAAGTCAACATAAGCCCTTCTGGAAACTAAAATCGAACTGTGTGAATTGTTTTTAGTTAATACAACTTTCTCTTAAGTATTACGCTCAAACGTTGATAATCCTTTGCTCGTGTCAAATATTAAATGCATACGGAAAGATTAATTATGTCTGAGAAGAATAAGTAGTACCTGAAACAAGTAGAGGTTGTTGGCCAAAGTCTGGGCCAAATAAACGTCCACCTGTGGATGTATACAGAGATTTTTATCTAAATCGACTACCTTCCGACGTAAATGGTGCATTTTTATCTCCAATGACAACGAAACAAACCTCTGCCACGACCAGATCGTCATCTTCGTCATCCGCCAT